CTGCATCCTTCGCCTCCCGCTGACAGGAAATGAGACATGAGTCGCACATATTCGACCTTGTCTGCCGCTGCGATAATCTCCGCCGGCAGGGTGAAGGGCGATGATTTGTGTCCGCCGGCTGCAGCCAAGCTCTCGTCACGAACGGAGAGAAACTGATATGCTCTCCCTGTAAAGCCGAGCGTTTTAAGCGAGTGGATATGCGATAATGTGTTTATAGAGACTCCGTATGTTTTTGAGTGTTGGATTCTCCGGGTCCGTTTCGGAGCATGCCAAGCCATCTTGGCTGCATCAACCACAGAGGAGTCTCTCCTCCTCCTCCTCCTCCTCCTCCCTGGCTGCTGCTTTATTATAGGTTGGACTTGTGCTGGGCTCCAGTGTGTCAGCCTGCTGAGGGTGTGTCTCCAGTCCAAACTTGAACACACACATCAATTCCTGCAAACGCCCTCGTGGGCGACGCAGTCGCATCCCGGCCGCCATTGTTGTGGGACCTTTCTGAGAGCTCTTGTTGGCTGCCTGGCTCCTCGCTCTGTCTGTCCTGATCAGAATAAAGGCTGCTGATCCGGCTGAATGTTTGTGCTCCAGCTGGTCACCTCCTCGAACAATAGAAGGGAGAGACACACACACGCACACACACAGGCGCACAATGGCCCTTGATGCAATCGCGTGCGTTCGCAGCAGGCCTCTCGTGGAAGCGAGGACAAGGCCAAGATGGAGGGGTTGTTTATGCCTGTACACTCGTGGTTGAGGATCTTTCTAACCCCGCGGTCGCAGCTTTTGGCTAAGGAGGACGTTAAGTGTGTGGCTGATCCTCCCCTCACCCCACGTTTATCCCTGCGAGCTTCACAAACTGATCAGCAGAGCTAATTCTGTTTGGTAGCTTCAGGCTTCCTCTCTGTTTTGTCTCCATCAGGCTCATCTGTCCTCTAAAACGTATTTGTTCTGTCCTTCAGCGGTAACGTTTGCAAACGGCTTCAGTTCAAACACTGAACTGTAACATCCTCCTCTGTATGTTTCCAGTTAAATGAGCTTTTACTGAAAATATCCAGGCAAAATAGGAGATGAGACTTTCAAGGACATTATTCAAATGATGTTTGTTCAGTATTAAAGAATTGTCACGGCATGCAAACGCCCTCGTTTGGCATTTCGTGTTTGATTTCCCTCAAGGTCAATGATAACTTATCAGAATACCAAGCTTTTGCACGTCTGTTGCAAAAGTCCTTCAATCTTTAAGCCTGGCCTCTCAAAAGCTTCTCAGACAGTAGCCAGAAAGTACTGACTGAGCAACAACTAAAGTTTTCTTCAGGCTTCTGGTGCAAATTTTTACTTTCCTCTTCTTGCATAGCTGCAAATTTTTGACTGCGCAAAACGCGTCGCCATTACGGCTTTGAAGAACGACTTCAGTTACTCGAAGGTTTTCTGAATGTTCCTGATTTTGTTTTTGGGTTTCATTAGAGAAAATCAGGGGTCAAACTGAACTCTGGCTGAACGAAGGACTTCGTTTGCAACTGTCAGTGTAACGCGTACAACTAGAGCCGCAGCGAACGAGTAACGGATTGACTAATCGTCAGAATAACCCGATTAAAAAAACACAATGGCACTTTTAGATTTATGAGTTAACTACTTAGTGACTACTTTTAAAAATAAGAAAATAAACACTTTATTGCCCAAGATGCAATAAGACAGCATTCCTTTAGCTTCACCTGGGTCAAATTCACTAAAATACCACATTCTGTAACATTTTTATTTATTTATTTTTTAACGGAAAATGCATTTATATGTATTTATTGTTTGGCCTTAATTACTGCCTGCAATGTTGTTTTCTGCATGTAACCAATTTTTGGAGTCAAACTCCTCCAAAACAATTAATCGATTACTAATGTAGTTCTCAAAAATCGATTTCTCACGTTGAATCGTTTCAGCCCTACATCCGACAAATTCACCGAAAACCTCGACGGCATTAGAAACTAGTAAAACGTTTAAAAGCGGGAGCAACCACCCAGCGACGCTTAATGTCTGAAATGTCTGAGCCGTTCTGAGCTGCAGCTCTTCGTGTCTCTCTCTCTCGACTCGTCCAGCAGATGAACGGCCTCCCGCGCCGTTTCTGCTCCAGTTCGCTGACCGATCGGCGAGGTTTTCACCATCCTCTGGCAGATAAACTCAGATTTTGTCTTCTCGTGCATCGCTCTTCCTCCTCCTCCTCCTCCCCGCCATGTGGTTTCCATTACGATCCGCTCCGTTCTCTTCCCCAGTCGTCTTGTGTTTGCGTTTCGTGTGCAGTCCCAGCGCGTTTCTGCAGAAACTCAATCCAACGTTTTGTGAGGTTTCAGATTTGGGTTTTAAAGAGAGGGGGACGAAAAGGAAAAAGCAGAGGAATGCGTGGAATAACACCTTCCCCGCTTTAATAATTTCACCGACATGAGCAGATGGAGGGCTGATGTTTGGGGGGGAGGGAGGACGTCATGTGTGAGAAGAGACGGGCGGTGAAACCATGACTCCATTTGTCCTTTCTCAAACAGGTCTTTCTTTTCTCGGCACACATTTACACAGCGCCCAGTCACGGCCCATGAGGCCTCTGGCTACACGTCCAGCCACGCCGCGACCTCGGCCTGGACAATGGGCCGCATTGTCCGCGATGAAGTATCTGTGTGTGTTCATCCGGCGGCTCAGTCATATTTGTCCACCACTTTGCTGCTCTTAAAAGCCGGAGCGAGGATGGCGTGATGTTTAATGGCGTCTCTTGTTCTGGGCAGACAGTGGGGCTGATGGTCGAAGCTCCTCGTCGGCTGAGCTAAAGCGTTTGGCCTCGGCGAGGCGGGGAGGGTTTGTATTCTGGACTCTGAGGTATTTCTGGAACAATTCCTCACTTGACGGCTTCGGTTCACAGCTGCCACTTCAGATGGTGACGCAAAGTTAAATGGATTTTTCTGGAAACGACGAACTCAGATATTCTCTCTGAGTGTTTGTGATAAAAGCGACACTAGAGAACTCTTTCTACTAGACATTAATCGGATCGATTATCGTGATAAAAGTGTTAAGAATTTGATTTAATGTTGTCTTGATAAATTCCAGTTAATGAAGTTGAATAAAAAACTCAAAACTGACAGTGAAAATAACTTCTGATACTATTTTCTCCCATCTGTCCCTCCAGAGCATCAATAAATGTCTGTAAATTTGAAAATATGTGAATGTTTTTCAAGAGTTTGTGGCGCTTCGAAGTTGTCCAAAAACGGATGGGATTTTTTTTGTTTTAATGGGTTTTTAAAAAATATTTTTAAACATTAACCAATTCAGATTTTTCTTTTTAGATTACTTGATGGTCCTAACGAGATCTTGTGGCGCAAGATTTGAGTATATTAAATCATTTTCATGAAGTAAAGGGAGATCTGTCCAGTTCAACACGTTGACGTGTTTCAAACGTTCCAGAATCAAGTTGGACTCTTATTTTGAAGTAAGAAACAAAGTAGTTCTTGATGCAAGACTCTTTAATAATGAACATTTTAAGGACTTGAATGAGACGTATGAATATTTAGGATAAATTATAATATTTTGCGTCAGAGTTGGCTCTGGGTGCTGAAGTTGGCGTCTGCCCTGCAGCTTTCTGTTGCCACTAAATGGAGCAACTTTTGGTTTTTTTAGGAAATCTGGACTTTGTTTAAACCTCTGTAGTTATAAATCGAAGAGACGGATCAAATGAAGGCGGTTTGCTCCACATCAAACGGGGAATTAGAACCAGCTTAACTCGGATTGAATTGTTCTGTTTGGATGAACTGATTACTGAAAATGAAGAGAGGAATTATTTTATGTGAATTCAGCGAAACTACAAAAACTACCTGGACTGTGTTAAATGTTACAAAGCCTTGAAAGTGCATCTAGCTGTGTCTGTAATAGATTTGGTTACAATTTGTTTTAATTTAGAATAAAACTAAACTAAAACTTCCTTTTTAACACTTCTGCGCATCAAATCCCCAACCAGAAGTGGCATTTTAATAAAACTTTGTTGCTGCGAAGGAAATGATGCGTTTGATTTCTTCCCAGTCGCCTTGGTGTCACGTTCTCATCGACGCGTCTATTAGAGTTTACTGACGTTTTGTGATGCGTCGTAGTTCCTGATTTGTTACCAGGAAGTAACTTTTTAAAATGGATTTGATCAGTTTCTGGATGAGTTGACGAATACTTTGGGTTATTATAGTTTAGTTTTTCATCTAATTCAGTTCATTTGAATTACTTTTTAGAGAGTGTTTGCTAGTTTCTGTTAGCTATGAGTTTAAATATTGTTTTGTTTTTATTAGTTAAAGTAATTTTGGTGAAATTTTTTTTTTCATACTTTTATTATTTTTAGGTGCAGAATTCAAACAGGTATTGTATTGATTATGTATCCAGTGTATTCAGTTATTATTGAATAACCAGCTGATTCTGGTGTTTTCTTCCAACGTTGGCTGTCACTATTTTGCGCCAGTGCGGTGTTCCGTAATTTGCTGACGTAAAATCTTTCTTCACATCGGATCGATTCATAAACATGAAAACGGAGGGCATCATGTCTACCTCCGTTATGTTTCAGTTTTATAAACCCACAATATAGTTACAGTTTTCTTTCAGTTTCGGCTAAAATGTTTTCTTAATTTCATGTCATTTCATTAGTTTTAGGGAACTGTAATAATCAGAAGCCTTTTTTTTTTTTTTTGGCTGACATGGCGTTAAAGTTGCCCCTCGGTGTGCAGCGGTCGCCTCATTACGGTGCGACCTCTGTCTGCCACTCGCCGTCCGTCCTGACTGCTCATCCTTTGAAGGTCTGACAGATGTGGCCGTGTGTGCAGCTGTGTGAAATCCCTCTAATCTCAGCCGTCTGATGTTGCTCATTTAGTCCCTCTGATCCTGACCACAGGATGTGAGTGTGTGTGTGTGAGTGTGTGTGTCACCGGTCAGCCCAGCTGCCCGCCCACTTCATGATGGATTCGTTAACCAACCCCCCACTTCTGTCTGCTTCTTCTCTGCCCCTCCAGGCATGGACCTGTCTGCCAATCAGGATGAAGAAAGCGACCAGGAGGTGTTCCAGGTGGAGATCTGCCGCGAGAACAGGAAGTGCGCGTTCCGGACCGCCGCTGGGAAGTACTGGACCCTCACCGCCAACGGAGGCCTGCAGTGCACCGCCTCCAGCAAGTAAGGGTCCATCGGCAGAGCCACACCTGTCCCCGTCTGTCGGGACAGGAAATCTGTCCTGTTGGTGTAACAGGAGCTCCGGGTTCCTAAGGGGGGAGGGGAGCTGTGAGTGGGAGGTTAAGAGTGGGTGACCTCTTGTCCTGGCAGTGGCATGAGTGGAAGATGAAGTGTGTGTGTGTGTGTGTCTGTGTGTGTGTGTGTGTGGGGTGGGGAGTGTTTTTCTTTTGTGTGCGGTAGTTCTTTCCGAGCAGGGAGCTGGCTGTTGACCTCTGACCCCCTGCCCCCATCATAAAGTTTTCCAGAAACGAATCCCAGTGAGGCTCCTGACCCAGGATTGGGATTCTTCACCCCGAGTTACGTAAAGTGGACCGGCGTCCCAACGTCAATCAAAAGTTATTGGAACCCGATTCAGCCCAAACGCTACGGCGGGTCTGGTTGCCGAGCAACCTCGGAGGCAGAGTTTGCTCTCAAACAGCAGGAAATTGGATTCCCCCCGTTACAAATTAAACTTTACTTGAAGCTTGGAGACGGGACGGGAGGCAGAGGGGGGGTCACGGCTCCGAGTCCTCTGCAGGAACTTCCCCACATTCCTACAACGAATTCCTGAGATTTGGCTCAACTGAGTCCTCAGACTAGAGGAATCTGATCTCTCACCAGGCCAGATGTGGACAAAACAACACTGCATGCTAGTTTTTTATTTTTATACTTATTTATTTATATTCTCTAAAATGTAGCAACGTTGGATATTTCTTTTGTCTCTGAATGTCTCAAAATTAAAGAGATTTAACTGATCTGATTAGTGTGTGATGGTAGCAAACTCGTGCGTCGTGCTGTAGCAGTGGATTAGCTGCTGTCGTTCAAAGGCAACTTTCATCGACATCAAACTGAAAATTAATGCAGCTCTAGCTTCTCTTGTCATTGTTCTCCCTCTACTTCGCACCGTGCTGGTTTTCCTTCACTCCTCAGAGCAGCGCAGCACACAGTGGCCAGCTTTTACTTGGCTGCTGTTTGTCCAAAATAAGGTCAGTTAAGCAGCACAGAATCCAGGCTGCTTGATGTCCAGAGAGAAGTCTCGGATGCCACGTTGTCCATCTAGCAGAAAGTTCTCGAGCCCTTCGTGGTTCCGTCTGCTGGCGAGCCGCATGGAGATGCTGACTCCATCTTCCCTGGACTCGGTACCAGCACACGCCGCCAATCGTACCAAAACCTGCTTCGATGACTGCGGAGTCGCCGCGCTCGGTTCGGTCAGAAAACTCCTTGAAGGTCGCCGTGGAAGCAGAACATGCCTCCTCCATGCCTGCTACATCGAGTTTCACTTTATTTACCGAATAAACTTCTCAGTGACATTGAGGGAGAAGTAAATGTTGTGTTTTCTAACTGCTCCAACTTGTTTTAATCAACTTTAACAGATTGCTCGGTCCGAGCTTGTAGCCAGTTCAGTCGAGGACAAACGCCTGCTCGATTTAAAGAAACCCTGAACTCGGCTCCTTGTTTTTTGTTCATGTTACAATGTCAACAGTGAGTAATCTTTCTTTTTTCTTTTATCACTCCTGGAATTCATCCTCCACGTTTGCCAAAGAGGAAAAAAAAAAGATGGATGAGACCCGACCGTCGGGGGGCCCCATAAATGACAGCGTGGCGCGACTCGTCCTCTCCTGACGCCGTTTCCTTCTGTCTGTTCCTCCACAGGTCCACTAACTGCTACTTTGACATCGAGTGGCGTGGGAAGCGGCTGACTCTCCGCGCAGCAAACGGGAAGTACGTGGCGGCCAAGAAAAACGGCCAGCTCGCCGCCACCATGGACTCTGCAGGTCGGTGTTGATCTGCTGACGGGAACGAACCGGATAACTGATTCACAGCCCGGCGCTGACATGATGAAGGGTTCAGAGGAAGAGGAGGAGGAGTGATGAAATCATGTCTGGATGCTCCAGTTGTTTTGGCTCTTAAAGGGTTCAGCATTTCTGAGTAAACATTGCTGCTTGCTGCATTTCCAGAGCTCTGGCGTCCCAGTTTTCTGTCTTTAATTATGGATATTGGAAACGGCACTTTGATGCGTCATTTTCTTCCTGTGCACAAAGTACTTCATCTAAAATGTCTGTTTTAGTTTTTGCTTTGCACAGAGAGGTGTGGCCCGCTTGTCAGAGTTCCACTTTAAGGTCAAGATGTGGCCAGAAAAACCACAGAAATGCTAAAAAAATATTTCTCTTTTGTTTTTTTTCCCCCTTGTGTTGAACAAACGGGATGATTTGCGATTATTTTTGCAGATTCATATAATCCATAAATGTAAGCACTGAAATATAATTTCAAGAGGAAAATGAATCCTTTTCTAAAAAGATCTTTATTTTTTTAAGATGTTCTTACTCAAACATGCTTTTCCTTAAGAGTCCAAATAAAGCATTGGGATACAACATTTAATTTTTCAAATTAATGAGCAAGCATTAATTTGAAGTAGAGGCATCACACTTTTGCGTTAAAGCAGAAATTTGGCTACTTCACATGGTCTTTAGCTTCTCATATTGGCGACTAGCATGGCTAGCATTATTAAAAACGGCATCAGTGTATTTCCTGGAGTCTGTGCACCTTTACCTTTACTCTCAGATTTAACTAAAGGTGCCAATGTTTCCAAATCCAGCACAGCTGGAGATCAAGCTCTCAAATACAAAGTCAAGTTTGACGTCTTGCTCTCTCTCGCTCTGTCGCAGCCTGAATAAACTGCAGGCAAAAGTCGACACGAGTTTGAGGATGAGCTCCTTTTCAAACGCTCAATTTGTCTTTGCTTTCAGAAAGTGGTTGAGTTGACATCCACTCAAAAAAGTTTAGTTGTTGGAGCCACGACAGGTTGGCTGACTGAGGAAAAGATCAGATTTTTAAGTTTCTGATGGACTCGGTTACCAATTAGGTTTGAAGAAGCTAAATGTTGGTCTGTGAAATTTTCAGCTGAAAGTTTCCCAATTTCAATGAACTCTGGAAGTTTTTTTTTTTTTTGTAACCTTCAGAAAACCTTCAAACCTTAGACTGGTCAGAATGCACCGAACAAAAAATTTCAGCGTTTTGCTCTCACTAGTTTTCTAAAATTGTAGCTCGTTTCAGGATCTGGTAGGAGGACAGCTGCTCTGCTCCAGCTGCTCCTTCACACTAAAGCAAAACAAAAAACAAAACTCGGCACTTGATTGTCGGGGATTTCAACCGTTCCAACCGCTTTTCCTGCTGCAAGCCATGCAGATCTGAAAAGTCTCAAATTACAGACCTCATGTTCCAGCATTTGTCAATCACACCTTTTTTTTTCCCCCTTCCTCCTGATGTTGGTGGTGAAACAAAACAAAAGGCAGACCTGTTCTTTGTTTAGTCAAGATATCTAGATGTACCAGAACAGTAACTCTGCTGCTGACCGTCTCTGTGCCGCCTGTCCTCCGTCTTCAGGGGAGTCCGAGGAGTTCATCATGAAGCTGATCAACCGTCCCATCATCGTCCTGCGCGGCGAACACGGCTTCATCGGCTGCAGGAAGGTGACCGGCACGCTGGACTCCAACCGCTCCTCCTACGACTACTTCACCCTGGAGTTCAGAGACGGCGCCTACAGCCTGCAGGGTGAGCGCGGCCGTCCGGGGCAAATCCGCAGACCCCATCTCGACGTTTCCCCTTTTAACTCGCCTCCTTCTCCGTCCGTCCGTCCCGCAGATTCCACCGGAAAGTACTGGATGGTGGGGAACGAGCAGGCGGTCGTGAGCAGCAGCGACACTCCCGTCGACTTCCTGTTCGAGTTCTGCGACTACAACAAGCTGGCCGTTCGCCACGCCGGCGACGGGAAGTACCTCCGCGGCGACCACGCCGGCGTGCTGAAGGCCAACGCCGACGACCTGGAAACCGCCACGCTCTGGGAGTACTGAGGGGAACCAGAGCCCCCTGACCCGTCCACCACCTAAACACCTACCTGTCCACCCCCTCATCCCCCCACATATTAAGCCCCGCCCCCTTTTTGACTATATGTTGACAAACTGCACAGAGATCAGCAAGGATAGAAGGAAGGAGCCTCTCCTCTCTCCCTCCCTTTCCTTCCTTCTTCCCTCCGTTCTTTGTTCTTTTTTTTTGTTTTGTTTTTTTTTGTCAGCTCTGCCCTCCGGTGCCAACCCGTATCCATCGCCATAGTTACCACAGGGTGCTGTGCACTTTTCCTGCTTCGATCCGTCTTTGTCCCGCCACTTCTCGCTCCCTCCGCGTTTCTGCCTGTGGCGTCTGAACTGGACCGATGGGTCCGGATTCAGTGTTTGTTTTTATGAGAGCTTGGCGTTCTTGACTGTATTATAACTAGAGTGGATCTGACGATGTAGACGATGTAACTCGACGGGACAAAGCCCCGCCCACCTCCTCTTAGCCCCTCCCCCCCAACGCTCCTTTCATCTCAAGTGTATGATATTTAGATGTAAGCCCGTGTTGCTCTCTAGCTGTCGGAGATATTCACAGAAACCTGGAGCCTCCGGAAGCCGTAGTCGGAGAAACAGTATAAAGGGTCAAAAGCCGGCGCAGATCAACACACGTTTCCGTACGTTTGCTGCACTCTTGCACAGTTGGATTCATTTCTTGCTCCAAGTCCAAGGCACAGACATTATCATGGCTAAAAGTGTACAGCGGATAGATGTAGTAAATGTAGTGAAACCATTAATAGATGCCTAGAAAGCTGCTTTTATTATTATTATTTTTCTCGATTTCCCTCGACCAAACGTACACCTGAGCCTTTACGCAGACCAAACTTTTGATACCGGGTGGACGGTCAAGCTGTTTAAAACTGGAATCTGGTGCTAGCAACATGTTCAACATCTCAGCTCCACATCGGAGAACCTTTTTCAAATCAGTTTCTCGGTTTTTTTTTTCTCTTGCCTCTCGGTTCCTACCGTCTCGGTTTGAAACGGACGTTTCATCTCATAGTGTAGTCCCACAGAATCTCAATCTGCTGATTTTTTATTTTTTTTTTATTTTTTTAAATCCACTTAGACGACCAATCACTGCAGTCCGACGAATCGATGCACGATTGTATCGGGTCCAACGTTTTTCTGATGTTCCGAGTGTTTTCATGAAAGGTTCTGGGGAAACGAAAGAAGAGAAGTTCCTCTCTGGGAAACTTTTGGCAAACTGGATGTTGGGAGGGTAAACGTGTGGTAATGACTGTGCCTTACTCTTGAGTTTTGATTTTTGGCAGTAGGATAATTAATTAATAAAAAGAAAATCAAGAAAATGAAAGTCCACACCTTTTTGCTTTGTAAAACTGGAACTTCCTTTTGTATTATTTTGTACAATTTTTCTGGGATATTGTGGAGTACTCTCTCTCTCTCTCTCTCTCTCTCTCTTTCTTGTGCCATTGGTTCACCTGAAATCCAGCAACCAATAAAAACTGGAATTTGGAACGCAAAGTGACTTTTTATTTTATTTTTATTTTCCTGTCTCATTGTTCAGTCGGTGGCATACAAGCATAATTGTGCTGACACACACCAAAGCTGTTGATGTTGTGCATATTTGGCCTGCGTGCAACCACTTTATGGCAGAAAATATAACCCTGCACATCCCTTAGAACACGTCGTCATAGTGATGCATGGTGGAGGCAGCAGCATGCTGTGGGAATGTTTTTCTTCCTTACAGGGGAGATTAATGTAAAATAAAAATAAAAAAAACCTGGTGTGGCCTTGAGACTGGGGAATGGATTATATCAGGGGTCAGTAACCTTTAACCCCGAGAGTCTCAGAAAAAATACATGACTGAAACAATTTATTTATTTTTTAATTAAACTAATAATTTACTTTTGTTTTTAGGTTTCAGTTTTTATGAAAATAAATAAATTACATGGCTTAAAACCATTTCCACACTGTAAAAACACAACCTTACAAAGTATGTTTGGTCTAATTTTGGTTTTTGTCCCATTACTGCAAATGTTTTGGTGCACTTGAAATGAAACGATAGCTTACATGTAGCTTTTTAGCAAAAAATATGAGCTTGTTTTAAGTGAATAATTCCTTAATATTAGTAAAATGACAAGTTCCACTGGCAGATGGAAACTGTTTGACCTCTACTTGCACTTTGTTGTGTTGGTTGGTTGAAGTGAAGTGGTGGAATCTAAACCAACTTGCATTTTTCACACTAAATGTCTGGATACAAGGAGAAAGCCCAGCTGTTATAATTTAATTTTAAATGTTCAAGTTTTCAGCTGAGGAAACGGCAGAAGAACAAAAAGTCTTTTTAACCTTCAAAACATCCTAAGCATATTTTTGATTTGTCTGCATACCTGTGCAAATGCCAACCTTTTCCTTTTTTTTCTTTTTTTTTACTTTTGAACAAACTTTATGGCCACGATTTAGCTCCATACTGGCCTCCCTCCTGGTTCTGACCACAGCGGCTCATGTGTTGTCCCACTCGCACACATTTATGTGGGAGATCCACACACTTTTTTTTCCCTCCGTGTCTCCTGAATAGAGCCTTTGTGTTGAAACATTTATTCTGGAGCTGTGTGTGTGTGTGTGTGTGTGTGTGTGAGAGAGAAAGGGGGGCAGTGCGTCCCTCTGAAAGATCCAGGTGGTAACGTCGGGATGGAGCCTCCAGAGCATTTCTCCCCAATCTGTTTCCCAGATCCCAGAGGACCAACAACCGACACGGCTGAAAACAAAAACTCCTCCTCTAATCTCCCATCAGTCCTCTCTCCCTCCATCCATCCTTCATCCCGGCCTCCATTTTTTTTTCAGCTCCTAAGATGAGTCACAGAAAATGTGACCCATTTCCCAGGAATGGTTGCGGCGGTCTGCGGCTAAAACGCCGACTAGCTCAGATCAGGAAGGCTGAAGGCAGAATGGCCGCCATCTCCTCTGCAGCCCGTCCGGCATCAGTGTTGCCATGGAGACGGCAGCTGCGAGCGGGCGCCCGAGATATGGGGCGCCTCGATCTCCAGGCTCGTATCAAGAAGAAGAAGAAGGCGTCTGCCTTTCATCATATCGACCACGTGGCTCCATGGCGCTCTAATCGAATCTGCCTCCACGTTTCCCCAGTCAGACAGTCGCAGGTCCGGCTCCGGGTCAGTGGGTCAGGCGCTAATCTCTTTAGGGGACGTGGGAGATGAATAGCAGGATGACTCACTAATGCAAATCAAAGACTTTCTGCGAGCTTTCACCTCTGCAGCAGGCGTAGTGTTTTCCTGGGTGGCAGTGGGAGTTCATTTGAGATTTTTAGATATTAAAATCTGAAAAAAAAAAAAACGTATAGTCGTCTTGGCACGAAAAGTTGAATAAATGGGATTTCGCTTCTTTGTAGCAAAAATAATTTATTGTATTAGTGGTTGTGTACACGGAGGCTCGCGAAAGTATTCACACCCCTTGAAGTTTTCTATGTTTTGTCACATTAAAACCACAAAAATTTATATATTTCATTGGAATTTAATGTGAAAAATAAGTACAAAGTGGTATACAAGAAAATGATTTTCAAAACATTTTTTACAAATGAAAAACTGAGAAGTGCGGCGTGTCTGTGAGTGCAAATCGATTAAATGAGGCCTAATCTCAGTGCAAATCCAGCTGCTGACAAAATATGAAAACATTCAAGGAATATGAATACTTTTATAAGCTGCTTTTTCGTCCATGTTTAATGCTGCACTTCCTTGTCAGAAAGGCATTTTATTGTGACAAACACACCTATTAATCAGAGGGAGACGAGGCAGACATGAGCAGCTGCTCTGTGCGCTCACAGCTGTAAAAGCGCCGCTCATTAAATTTACATCCCCTCATTTAAAGATACACACAAACAATAACAGACACAAACAGAGGCGGCGGGATGCGGCGCGGCGGGGCCAGGGGGGAAAACACTGGCAGACACCAGCGGTCCCAGAGGAGGAAGCTTTCACACACACACACACACACGTTCATCGACTCCAGTGGAGTCCAAAATGGGGCACACGGGCCGTTTGAGGTACCTCAGGGGAAGTTTGTGTGGCCCAACAAACGTGATGCAAAAAAAAAAGGCATATATTTGGTTTTCCACCTCAAGGTTTCAGAAGTTGATGCAGTTAAAAAATAAAAACAAATTCAGCAGAGAATTTTTTTCCTACTATGGATAAAAAAAAAAGTACTTATCTTTTATTTTAATTCGACATCATAGTAAGCAGGACCAGTAACTGGAGCCCCCATTTAGTAAACTCAGCTAAATAAAGCAGCAACAGAGATTTTGTTGCTGAAAAAAATAGCACAAATATGAGAAAAAACATAATTTCGGATAGTTTGCAGTTCTTTATACATAGATGTTATTCAAAAACTTGAGATTTTATGATGATTTAGAACTTCCTGTTCTCCAGAAATCACACCTCTATTTTACTTAAATGTTGTGTTTATGTTTGTGCAGGTAAAAGTGAGTTATGTAATCTTTTGTTTTAATCTAAATTTTGTGGCTCTCAATCACTTTTTACATTTTTAGACCAAAATGTGTGGACACCCGTCATCTACAGCTGTCCTTGTGAGACATGAATCTCGCCCGCGCTGACCTTCAGGATTTCAAGGTCGTTTGCTCATGAGCGCAGACCGCCGCTGTGGTCGCGGATCTGAATGGCAGGAAGTTTCTGGCGCTGAGCTGCTTTGTCCATCTCAGGTGTCGCAGAAGATATGTGGGTCGCGTCTGGTTCGTGTTTTCTCCCAGAACAAAAAGCTCTAATCTGGGCCATCGAAGAGCCATTGAGAGCTCCAGGTCCGGAGCCAGGGTTCGATGAAAAGCCTGTTTGTTTTTGCCGAGTGCTCTTTCAAAATGGAGGATGAAGGTTACTGTACTGGAAGCTCGACTTACACATTTCATTGTGGAGGCTGGATTTGGTGCCAGATTTGATCCTGAACGAGAGAACTAAAGGTTAGCTGACGCTGGCGTAGAAACAAACATCTTCTGGTTTAACTTATTATAATTTATTTAATATCAGGTTTTGAAAGATAAACATCAAACCTAAAAATCCTGGGAGTCTACAGCAAATATAGTGTTTATTTTTTTATGTTCAGATTCTTTAGGAAGTGTGAGTCTGAATAAATCATAAAGTCGATATAAAGGCATAATAAGACTGTGGCGCCATTTGCACATTTAATGATCAGGTTTCCCACTGTTGAATCTTCAACAGGAAGATTAGCAAAGGACTGAACACACGACCCTGAGGGACACACCGTGACGGAGCTGGAGACGTTCTGATGAAGAAGTTCAGAGTTCAGGAACGAGCAGCAGTTTGGGCCAAGCAGAAGTTTTTCTATTAGCTTCTGGGGAATGAATGCATAGCATCTATTAAAACTTACACACGTTTTTACAATGATTATGCAAATCTTTTGTCTGTCTAATAAAAATCCTAGCATAACAAGATGCTAACAGAACAGAGAAACGTGAAATTTTTGAATTGTAAAAGTGCTTCAGAGTTTAAAGTGACTTTTATATTTTCAATCCAAAAATACAAATGAACTCAAAATAAACCTAAAATATCATCTAGAATAGACGGCTAATGTGTTTTTAGCATAAATCTAATTTATGCCGTAGAGATTATTCCTGTCGACGCTCAAAAGCTGGACAATAAAGAAAAGGTTCTGGATAATCCAACTCCATCCTCTGTGTTTTCAGTCTTTATGGCAGTGGGTGTGAATGAGTGACGGCTTGAATTGGTGGAACTGTCCTTTATTTTCGTCTAATCGCATCAGCCGAGAAGGCCCTTTGTTGACTACATGAACAAAGTCATTAGCTGATAATTCTCTTTAATTCTCTGCAACCGTAATCCAGGAGCCTCATCTGGGAAACCCCGCAGCATAATCAGGGGCTTAAAAACAAAAAAAAAAAGGGAACAGATAAATTGCGGAATGAAATTTAACAAACCAAAAACCTACACAATTTTTAAAATAATATAGATTCAGAATAGTGATGATGGAATGAAACGAGCTGAATATTTTTTCACATTTGAAAGAAATCCGAAAATGATTTTGATGAAGCAACACGGCAGCGAATGAGCTGATGTTTATGTATTTTAAATGTCTGAAAGTTTAAGTTTATACTTCTTTCTGCTCCTTTTCATTCATGATTTCCTTTAGTTGCTACATGAGCGATTCATACTCAGGGAATCAAATAATAAAAAAATAAAAACATTTTATTAGACGCTAATCAAATCCAGCGTCTAACTGCAAAACGCTGTGCAAGGCAGAAAACTAACATGAAACCATGAACACACCACATCTATAGAAACACGGTGGTGGCAGTATCATGCTGTGGGGAATTGATAAGAGGCACATGTTTTTATTTTTTTTATAAATTTCTTTTCCCCTCAATTTTTTGATTTTTCAAACATAAATTCCCCAAAAAGAAAGTTAGTTTAGTTACTGGAGAAAAGCTGGTTGAGGGTTTTCTTCCAAACAGCTGGATGATGACCTTCGTGGATGTTCGCAGGGTCAAAGGTCAGGGCCATGAGGTTACTGTATAACTTTTAAAGGGTAGAAAACCGATCAGAATCGCTGCAGCGCTCCTCTCTCTGCTCTTCTGGCGTCTGCTCTAAACGCAGTGCAGATCGCTGGAGTCGTTTTCACTTGGCTGCTCCTTAGAGACGAATAATCTCATTAAAATCTAATTCTGGCTCATGCATAAATAAAACCGAAACAGCAGCAAAAAAAAAAGAAAGAAGAAGAGCCTCTTCCTCCTCCTCTTCCTCATGCAATCTGTGACTAACAGCATTTGGAGCCCAGGGCTGCAGCGGAGGTTCCTTTGTGTTTGCAGCAGCAGCAGCAGCAGCAGCAGCAGCAGCAGCAGCCTCCATGATGGAACCGGAGGCGGCGTGCCGCCAAGTGATCCGTCACACTCACACACACACGGCTGAACAAAGGAGAACGCTCTCTGAGAAACGTTGCGACGCCAGCGCCAATGCGAATGCTGTGATTGGAGGAGAGCGCCCCCCCTGGTCTGGTTTTTGTGACTCAGCCCGTTTTTCTTTTTCGTTTGTTTTTCTTTTTTTTTTCTTCCCTCCTGCGTGAGACGACGGCGGAGGCGGAATTCTGAGGCATCGTGAAGAAAACTTTATTATTAGAAAATTCACACCTGTTAGACAAAAATACAGAAGGGAATGCTAAACTTCAATATGTTTTTTTTTTGTTGTTGTTTTTTTTCCACTTTTATACAATTTTATTACTCAAAAATATCTGTAGAAACCGGACAGAATCTGCCTCAGCGGTCCGTCGATTCGGTTCGGGTCTGTAAAGAGACAGAGAGAGAAAAAAACTAAAAACTAAAAGTAAAACGGGAACGTCCTCTTGAATGACAGAAGTCAGCAGAAGGCAAATTAAAAGGAGAGCAGAGCTGCGTCTTTAATGCAGTTCTGATCTCAGTGCTTGTTACGTGGAGAGGAAGCCTGGCTGTGACGCCGCGGTCGGGACGGGGCGGCGACTCACCGCGCTCTCAGTAGCGTCTGTAGTAGTGTGGTGGGGGTCCGTAGTGCATGGGCAGGTCCATGAAGGGCGGGTTGTGGTTGTGCTGGTTGTTGTTGTTATTGTTCAGGGGGGGCACGTGCTGCAGCGGGGGCACGTAGGGCGCTGGGGGCAACCGCGGGATGATGATGGGGTGGTAGATCCGGCCCTGCGGCGGCGCCGGAGCCGGAGGGTGGTAGCGGGCGCGAGGGGGGACGAAAAGGGGGGCCTGAACCGCCTGGGGGATGGCGGGCGGGGCGTTGGGCTGGGGGGGGTTCTCCGGGGGCGGACCCACACGGGGCCGTTTAGAGTCTTTGATGGCCTCAGGGGGCGGGCCGACCCTCTTCCCTGAATTATCTGACAGAAGAAGAAGAAAATAAGAGATTTATAAGGAGTGATGGCTGGATGAGTAAACAGATGAATAGATGTATGACAGATGGACAGATAACCATTTTCACAATTTCTCTCAACCCTTATGTGACCGCTGCTGCTCGTGCACTTGTAAAACGTTTTCCTTCCTCTCAACTTTCTATCAATACATCTGAATAAGGTTTACCAGCTTCTTCAGCTCTGGACTGTTTTTTTTTTTTTTTTTTTGAAGCGTAGCAAATTTAATAAGTTTAACATTTTCAACTGACATAAACTAATTTGTCAGCAAAATCCTAATTCATTCAGACGTCAGATTAAATCATCCTGGGAGTCCGGATCTTTTCTCTCCCATCTTTTAGAAAACAGAGACGCGAAGTCGAGGGAAGCGGCAGAGAAACCCGTCCTGCTGACTCACCTGCACACTTCTTGCTCAGCTCAGCTTCGCCCTCCTTCTGGATCTCCTGGATGATTCGCTCGTCATCTTGCTGCAGAAGTAAAACAGAAAGAGCTTCATGTCAAACCTGCTACAGCAACTACCAGGTTCCCCCTTTTGACCTCATGATAGCAGAAAAATAAAAATAATAATCACAAGATTCAACCAAAACAAGAGCGTGCAACACATCGTCATGCCAACGTATCAACGCCAACGCCTGGACTCAAATTTCTAGATTTTCAGCAAAACAACAACAAAAAAAAAAGGTCTCCGGTTGAAGATGCTACACTGTCAGTCTCTCTTTCTCTCTGTGCGTTTGACAATTTGTGAGACGACACAACAGTTTAAATGGCAGCCAATGTAGAAGAGTATTAAAGAGCCGTTTCAGCTAATTTACTTCAGCTGCTTCTAAAAAGATTAGCCCTGACAGACTGGATTACGAAACACTGAAGACGGATCCCATAAACAAAAGCTTGTTAAGTTTCACAACAGTTTCAGAGCTCCGGCATTTTAACCAGACCCAGAGGAGCAGCGCCAGCCTGAAACTCTGACAGAAAGAGGTTTGAGTCAAAAAAAAAACAAAAAACAAAAAACAGGAAAAATCTGTTAAAAACATTAAAAAACTTAAAAACCGGTGGTGAGACGTTAAAATCAGGGTGTAATTTGGCTGATTAAAGGTAAAGGATGCTGTCAAAGCACCACGAGGGGCTAAAAACAAAACAAGCAAGTACATTGGATAAATAATGAATAAATAAAAAAAAGGTTAAAATAAATATCCATATAAGAAAGTGAATAAAAAATTTGCAAAAATTAAATGCCTTAAGATCTTTCTTATCACTGAACTTTAGAAAATGAAAAAAAAAAAGTCTGGAAACAAAACAAATCAAACACTTTTAATTTCTCAGTTTTCTTTTTTTCCTGTAACGATTTAAACCTGAAAAATGAGAAAAGTAAATTCCAGAGCCAGAGATGGAAAAATATACATATGTAAATATAAATAAATATAAAAGTCTGTAAAAAATAATAATTTTCAATCCATTTTTTTGTTTTCAGAGATCGTCTGGCTTGTGTTTGGTGAAGGTCAGAGGTCAGCCGCCTCCCCTCAGCGTATCTTCACAGGCCCGACTTTTAATCCCGTCGTTTGGCTTCGTTGCCATGGCGAGCTCCGTGCCAGCTTATTGGCCGGCTGGGAGCTAAATGATGCTTCTGGCTGCCAGAGAAGCTGCAGCCAAGCTGCACTGTGGGTAACGAGGAGACGGATACCAGGCTAAAAAAACAAACAAAAAAAAAAACGGTGTTAGCGTTCGGACTCACCGTGGGGTCGGTCCAGAGCGAGCATTTTCGACAGTGCCTGCAGGGGGCGCCAGGGGAGCGGGCGTGCTGGCAGAAGTGGTTGTAGCCTGTGATGGGCTCCCGGCACAGGTAGCACATGAAGCTGCCGCAGCGGCACGACATCCGGTTGCAGCCCTCCGACTTCACCAGGCCCGTCCCGCACTTCACGCACTTCCTGACCCGCGCCGCCGTCATCCGCTCCTCGCTGCGGTTAGAACGGCGACATGGTGACGGTTTTCACAGCGAAGCGAGATCAGAAAGATCGTTTCAACACAGTCTGCGACCACTCGTGGTTTTTACTTCACAATAACGACGCAGCGTTCGTGCAGGTTCCACCAACTCAAATTTAAGACTTTTTAAGACGTCTATGAATGAAATTTAAGACCTGGGTCACAACAGAAACGTAGAAAAGAAAATCAAGTATTTTACATATCAGCGCCAAACTTTTTCTTTTGCCTAACATGCGCGTAACATTAGCAATAAAAGTGAGCCGGTAAATGAGATGAACCTTGTTCAGTCAACTGGCTATAATTTACACCAGCTAGCAAAGGTTTATTAGCAGTTAGTTAGCGTGAAGCACCTCGAGTCACAAAACGTAAGAAAGATGTTTGTGTGCGACTCAAATTTTTGCCTGACAGAAAAACTACATAGAAGGTAGGAGGTTGAATAGTTTTGCTGCAACAAAATTTAAGATCTGTAGCAAACATATTTAAGGCCAACTTGCTTATTTTCTAATGAATTTAAGACATTAGGCCTTATTTATACATATATACAAATTTAAGACTTTTTTAAGGACCATTCTGAATGAAATTTAGGACCTGAATCATAATGAATATATATGAAAAGAAAGTTGTATATTTTATACAGTAGTGCCAAACGTTTGTTGCCTAGAAGCTTTGTAGCATCGTACAAGTTGGCAACAGAAGTGAGCCAATGGCAGTCTGGTGTTGTCCTAAAAACCAGTAGTACACTTTTGCACACAAAAAAAAAAAAAAAAATCTCACTAGCTAGCTAACAAGGGCTTAAACCCAGCTAGTTAGCGGCATCCTCAACCGCTTCGGATTACAGAACGTAACGAAGACGTCTGTGTGACTCAAACTTTTGCCTGACAGAAAAGTCTCCAAGACTTTTCTACATGGAATATATGAGAGTAAATCGTCCTGCCGGGACAGAAAAATAAATTTAAGACATTTTTAAGGCCTTAATTTCAGATGCATGAAGTTGCAGACTTTTTAAGACCTCCACTCTTGTGGGAAAGTGCAAAAGCTGTCCTCTTGTGCGCCTGGTTTCGTCCCGTTACAACAACAGGACGACCGATTCATCTACCAGATCTCTTCCTGTGTCTTTCAGCACCAGGAAGTAAAGCTGCTCCAAAAACAGGAAGTGGCGCCTCTGAGCCTTCTGGGTCGAAAGGAAGCAGCTGGCCCGCCGGCACGGCTGCTTCCCGGAGCGTCGTCCGGGAAACTGATATTGTTTACCCAGCGTCCTCTCCTGCCAGAGAGGGACGGCGGACGGGAAAATGAGCCGGGACTCGAATCCAAATGCGCACAAAGTGTCAAAATGGGTGGAAAAACAAAATATCTAGACAAATAAAAGTTTGTATCAGAGGTGTTTGGTTTCCGTCGGGTCGAAAGCTGACAAATGCAGGTTCTCTTAACAGAGCGGCTACGATAAGCAGACGTGTGAGGGAACTTACAACAGAACTCTCATGCGGATCTCGTCCCTCTCCAGAACCTGCTCGCAGGTTTTTCCCACATGCTGCTTCCACTGGACGTGACACTTCCTGCAGCTCTCCTAAAGGAAAAACAAACCACAACAAAAACCAAAATTAGATGAGAAATCAGGGAGAGGAGAACATCTAACCAAATTACAGATAAATATTTTCAGCACGCACAGGGCTTTGGTCGGACATAGGTTAAAAATAAGGCTGATTTTGCCATTTTAAGCTTCTTTTTTTTTGTTGAAACATTGCATCTAAGATCCCAAATGCTTGCCACACATATAACACAAGGAATGATTTAACAGGTTGTTTTACTCCTCCAGTATATAGCAGGAATACCGGATGAAAATCTGTCACATTTAGAGGAACTAGAATGTATAAATCTCGTCCTTTATCTGGTTTTAAATGCAACAACCACCAGAGATTTTATTAAAATGTGTTTAAATTGGACACTTATGAAATAATATGTTGCCTTACGAATGTGATACCAAGTGTGTGTAACTGCTTTTGTGATGAATGTGTTTTTTTTGGTTGTTTTTCGTAATGCTGTGCACTGCAGGAAGAGTAGCCATCATCACGGCAATGGCTAACGGGGATCCAGATAAACGACGAAACCAATCAGAAGCTGCGAGTGAAGCAGCAGGTCAGGAGATTTCTTTCTGTGAAAACGTCTGAAGAAAGTCAAACTAGACAGAGAGAATCTATGAACATCACTTTTCCAGAGATTTAGGTCTGGACTTTGACTGGGCCGTTCTACCAGATGAAAATGCTTCGATCTATTGTAGCCCTGGTTGTGTCTTCATGGCTGTTGTCCTGCTGGAGGCTGAACCCAGCTTATGTTGCTAAACGATACGTTCTTGTAATCAATATGAGTTGATATCGATAATTACTGATTGGTTACTCAACAGGTTGCTGCTAGGCAACCAAAGAGCGAGTGAGTTAGTCGATGCCACTAGCTAGCCTTGAGTGTTTGCGAGACTAAAGCCTTTCCTCTGCCTACAACTCCCAGAATGCTGTGCGGTTCTGGATGGGACTTCAGTGAAATTGTTGAATATTCTACATCTAGACAAATTTATCCATCAATATCGATAGATATTGTTATTGATTTATTGTCCAGCTGTATCCGTACCCCTGCTGAAGACAAGCGCCCACCCACCCCCAGCCCCACCCATCAGGATGATCCGTGTTTCACTTTGACGGCTTGTTTGCATGTGGGCCACAAAGTTTACCAAATTTCTCCAACATGTTTGCTGAGCTATCAGCTGAAAAAGAAATCCCACCGTGCGAAATCTATATATTTTTCTCCTTCCACACAGTCACCTTGGTAACTGTTTCTAAAACCTGCAGTTCCACATCACATGTCATCCATCTTCTCTGACATCTTCCAAATCCAAGCCAAACCAGAGGCACTGCATTAAGAGCAGCACCCCCACCCTTTAGCATCTGCTCTGTATGCTGCTGCCGTGGCCACTGCAGCACACACCCCATTCACAGACATCTAGGTGCAGCTTCTTTTCTTTTTTTTTTTTTTCCTTTTTTGCCGCAAACGTCTGTCTGCGGCTGTAGGATGCTCGGTTGCCTAGGAACAAGAACAAACTCCATCCTCCGGCCTGCTTTGTCTCGCCGGGGCGCCGACACGTGCACGCCTCGGACGGCTCCCCTCGCCTTGCTAACCCTTAGCTAAGTGGTGCTGCCATAAATATTTGAGTCGCTCATCTAATATTGAACGACAGCTGATGCGGCTCGGCGAGATCCAATCTGACCTTTGCGTGGGGAGGCGGTCACGCCTTGGCTCTGCATGCTTTAATCACCGCCTGAGCACGCGCGTCTGCGCAAATCTGCTTCTTATTTGCGCCAACAGTATTTTTCCCTGACGCGGCTGTGCGGCGTGCAGGTTCAGCCAAAGGGTGAGGAACTGGATTACTGTTGGCGTTTGCAGAAGGAGAGAGACGGCGAAGACAACAAAAAAAGAAAAAAAAAAGGAGGGAGGAAACAGGAACCGGTCTGCAGCAGAGAGAAGAGAGAGAAAAAAAAACCTAGGATCAAACAAAGAGGGGCAGAAGAGCTAGAGGAGGGGAGGAAAAAAAAGAGACGGAGTAGAGAAAGATCGCCCCCTAGTGGGTTTACAGAGAGCGAAAAGAAAAGCAACACAAGAGAGAAAGCCACACAAGAGAGTGAAACCATGCGACTGAAAAGCAGGAAGACACCTGAGCTCTTATAGCGCGGCTAAAAATAACGACGTCAGGGTCCGACCTTAAAGGGGCGTGGCTTCGTCCGCCCCGCAGTGCTTCACCTGTACGTCACTAAAGGTGTGCCGGAGGTAAAACACACATTCGCTTTAAAAAAAAAACAAAACAAGGAACCTTGCACTTTTAACAAGCCTCGCCTTCTTTTACTACTTGCTCCAACTCGCCTCTCCTCTCCCTCAGCTCTGCCCCTCCCTACGCCCGGTTTCATTCATATCTTTTCTCCCCTCCCACGCTGCTCTCTAGTGCTGCAGCAGCCCTTATAAGGCAGTGCAGGCCGTCTGAGGCGCTCCCAATTGAGATGGGGCATTGAGGCTGTGCAGAGGTGAGCGTTTAATTGCTGAAGGAAGAAAATTAAGAAAACACGACAAGACGGAGGCAGTGGCGTTTGGAGATCGAACGAGAAGCAAAGAGCGTTAAAGTGCTTTATAAAAGTATTCACATCCCGTTAAACACACGTAAGGAGGTATTCTGACCTCCAAAGTTGCCTCTGCTTCACAATTACTATGATGCTGGATGGTAAATTGCCCCAGAAGTTATCGCAATAAACGATTATATTGTTGCTTTGAGACCTTTTTCAAGTAAAAGGCAAAATAAGACAAGAAGACACTCCCAAACTTTCATTTCTAACAAATATTCATCATCACTTTAAATGTCTGCTAAACAGAAACAAATAAAATGAATTATGGAGTCTCTGTAAACAAAACAGTCCTTCAATAAAAGCGGGTCGATGAGACCGGAGACTTTTGTTAGCCTGTTTCTGACAGAAAGAGCGAGAGGAAAGAGGAAAACAACACATCAGGCAAATGGAAATTATTGAGCTCCTTTTAATTTATCATGGGATGAAATGATTTACTGTGACAATTATGCACCCAGTTGGTGTAAATTATGCATTAAAAAAAAAGTTCAAGAGCTAAAAGTAGAGACTCTGCAAAGTTCCACATGTTTGTGTTAGTGGTTCTGACAGCAAATAAAAAGGCCCAGACACATGTGGATCGCATTAACACACACACACACACACACACACACACACACACACACACACACACACACACACACAGGAGAATCTGGGTTTCAAAATGATGTTAGCAGCTTCCCCAACCAGTAAGAAACCAGAGGAGAGCCGGCCAATGGGAGGCGGCTGGGTGGGCGGGGCTTAACAGAAGTGTGTTAGTTACATAACCTCCTGTGGGGCCACATCGGACCTACCTGGAACCGGTCCCTGCATCTGTTTAACGGACTCAGGTGTTTATGTGTGTGTGAACCAAACAACTAAACACACCCTCATGTTTTTACACACAACAAAGAAGAACATTTTACTAGGCCAGAGCTTGCTGCCAAGAAGGAACAAAACAACAAAGCCTAAAACGGACAGAGCATGCGGTTCTCTCTGAGCCCATCCCAGCTGCTGCTAACTGTTAAAGCATGCTAATTAGCGATGAATCAGAACCAAAGAAGAAGAAGTCTGCCGAACTTTTCCTGCTCTGGATCAGGAGTGAGCAAGCCGGGCAGGAAACCCAACCTGTGCAGGAGAATCAGTGAACCTCTGGCTCCACCTAGAGGCCGATTACGGTAAACGCCGTGGATCGCCTGACTGCTGTACAAACTGCTGCAACTAAATGTCAGAATCGTGCAAGGCGGAAAAAAAGCAAAAGGGAAACTAAGACGTCGGACGATTTCGGTTTCACCTCGGATCACCCAGGTGATCCGAGGTGAAATACCGGGGGTGGAGGCGCACCTGGAGGCCTTTTTATTTTACGTCTCAACCAGATTAACGTCTCTGGATTAGAATCTGAGTCTGTTCTTTTTTTCCTCTGAAGTTCCAGCTCAGTCAAACTGTAAACCTCAACATTTCACCCCAGACTCTCCACTGGATTAAGATCTAGTTCATCCTAACATAAGATTAAATTTTAATCCAAGCTAGCCCCAAAAAAAAAAAAAAAAAAAACTGCACAGCTCCAACTATCACATATTTTAGTAATCGAACAATTGGATAAAAATATATTAGAAATACATTAAAAGACACAAATAAACAAGCAACTCCTTTCTTAAAAAAACTAAATATATTCTTGCCTAAAATGTAATCGCATAGCGCTCCTTATAGTCCACTCTTGATCATTTAAAGATTAATTTATTCTTTTTTTGCATTAACCAATTGATAATTGGACAGTAAAAGGTACTTATCAGCAGATTTTGTTTCTTTACCGAATTTAAACCAGGTGGAGCTGAAGCAATGCCACTTGAGGTGCTCTGGGTAAAATATATTTACATTAAAAAAAGTCTTTTTTGGCTCAATTACTGCTCTGAGAATGTTGTTCTTCAAAAAAAAAAAAAGAAGACCTTTTTGAGTCACTTAGCGATTAATTAATGGCTAAAATATTTGACGATTATATCAATAATTGATTAATCACAATTAATCGTTTCAGCCCTAAAAAAATAAGAGATGTCCAGTTTGTTCTCCAACAAACCTCTGAGGCCTTCACAGAACAGAGACTGACCATTACCAACGTCTGACGGAACTTTATTGTTGGGATCAGAGTAAAGGGGGACGAGTTCGAACACTATTATTTGACAATTATGACGATTTTCTGCTGGTTTGTGACTTTAAACACTGAAATTGGAGAATCTAACATGTAAAAAGGTGAAAAAGTTTAAGTGGTCTGACAAAAAAACCTTGCGTAACTAACAATTATTTGAAAAAAACAACAACAAAAAAACAAAAACAAACAAACAAAAAAAAAACACAGTAAGTAGCTATTACCTAACAGAGGCCTTGCCCTTTTAACCCAAAGCCACCAAGTAAAAAATACACACTTTTAGGACAGATGCAAACAATGTTCTCTTATCCAATAACAGAGAAAAGAGTTTGTGGAGGAGATGTGGGAAACATTCCCACCAGCAGAAAGCCGAGGACTGACCGAGAGCAAAACACCAAGGCTGTGATTATGTCGCAAGAATGACAACTGGCAGCATATTTGTGAGTTTCTGTCACTTTCTTTCTCACAAACAATAAAACATTTCACTGGAATTCTTGTGATAACCTCACTGGACAAAAAGCCACACACACACGCGCACACACGCACACACACACCTTGCATTCCTGAGACAGGAGAAGATGCAGAGATAAGAAAAAAAAAAAAAAAAAACAGAGGACGAGAGAGGAACCATTTCTCCCCTCCAGCAGGCGTCTCGTCAATCACTCTCGTTCTGATTGGACTGGTGTAATTTATGACGGCTAGAATCAGAGTCTGGACTTTGATTTTCATGAGAGGTCTAAAAGAGAGGTCTGCAGAGGTAGAAGCGGGTGGACTGACCTTGCGGCAGCGCGGGTTAGGACAGCTAAACAGAGACATGTCTTTGTCCAACAAGGCCGGGAAGTTACAAAACGGACACCTGGGAGAGCCGAGAACAACAGAGAGAGAGAGAGAGAGAGAGACAGACGGGTCAGGAAGTGAGAAAACCAGACACATTTGTTGCAGTTCCTTCTTTGGGGTCCGGCCGCACGAAGTGCCTCACCTCACTAACTCGTCGGCGCAGGTGGCCGCCACCGCCTCCTCCGCCTGCCTCTCGTTGTATTTGCACAGGATGTTGTCGGGGAGGACCTTCTGCAGCTCGCACATGGGATAGGAGCACGGGCAGCCGTCCTCCATGCAGCTCAGCTCTGACTAAAACACAAAAAAAAACACAGACTCCTGTCGTCACGGCGAGCGACACCTTCCGGCTGTTGCAAAGCTGCGATTTATCCACCGGGACCCGTAGCTTCTCTACATGCATCTGATGAAAAACTCTGAGCAGCTGTTCCGTTACCGTGGCGACTAAAAGCATTCACAACCCTTAAAGGTAAAGTGGAATAAAGAAAAACCGGATTTCATGTTTTTTCCTCAAGAAAAATCTGAAAAGTGTGGCACGCATTTGTATTCAACCTCTTCCAGTACTTTGGAGGAAGTCTATCACTTTTGCACGTTTTTCTTTGCAGTACATCTTCAACATGTTGTTTCCAGGATTCCCCTGTTTTCAGGTCCAACCAACAGCTGGTAGAAATTCCCCACAGCATGATTCTGTCACCACCATGTTTCTACACAAGGGCTGGTGTGGTCATGGTGAGCTACTGTAAAATTACTACTTCAGTCTATTATTATTACGACTTTACTCTCATATTTCTACAACTTTTTTTCACAATTAAAAATAAAATCCTACAATGTGGCCCTAAAGCTCCTACTGCTGCAGAATCTGAACACAAATGCGCCGTTACTAAAAACAGTTTTAACAAGAAGTACAGTCACTTTCACATCATTTTTGTTTCAGTAAGACACACAAAACCTTAAAATATCCTGGAATTTCTGACGGCCACATAAGAACACTTCAAGGCCGTGGAGACGTCGTGACGTTCTACTGAAGCCACAGGCGGGTTATACCTTGCCGGAGCCGAACACGGCCTCCTGAGCGTATTTGACCAGGCACTCTTTGCAGAACAGGTGTCCGTCCGAGCACTGCGTCATCTTCTCAAAGGCAAACTCCCCGTAGCAGCAGCCGCACTCGATCAGCTGACCGTCCTGTGGAGAGAACAAGCCTTCGTTTACCAACACGAGTCGCCAAACTCCGGCGCTTGACAACATCTTGATAGAAAAACAAGAGGAAATATTTGAGATCAAATTCATTTATTTAAGAAAAAAAAAAGAAAGAGAGAGAGGTCAACATACAAAATAATAATTTGACAGAGTTATAGATATAGGAGCTATTATGTGATGTTGTTTTCCATTTACACTTCATTCAAGTATTTGTCCAACAGGTGCTGAACACTGTTAAGCTGGATACCGAGCTGTGCTCCTGTGGCAAGAGTGAACTCTTTTTTTTAAAATGGTGTTTAGTTTTTAAGTGAGATAAGCCGCTCATCCTGAGGAGGGCCTTCGGGATGACTCAAGAACGTATCTGTACCTCATCTGCTTTCAGAACAATATGAACAATATGATGGTTATAACGTAACTTCTGATTGTTTTTTTTTTTGTTTTTTTTAGCTATTCTTGGAAATCTGGGAAACGCAAAACAGAGGCATGAAAGTAATCTTGTTTAAAAAATGTGTCCTGTTGAACTTTCTGAAAACCGAGGTCGTCTTTTTCTCACTTTGCCGTTTCAAAGTAGCAGAACGCTAAAGACGTGGCGTCCTGTATCTGAAACAAACGCACACTAAACTCAGCAGCAACTTTGTCACATAAAACAGAGTGACCACAGTAAAGCAACCAGGAACCGTTTGGTCAAATGAAGCACTGGGTTGTAGCAAATAAAGTCAGTCGAGCTAAAATATGCGCCTCATACCTTCTTGTATTCATCTTCGTTGACCTGCAGAGCAAGGAGGAAGTCTTCGTGCTGGAGACAGAGAAGGATGATGATGATTATTATTATTATTAGCAGGGGTACTTATATTAAGCAATTTGATCAATTCTGTTGTATAGTTGACAGCTTTGGAGCCAAAATGCTGCGTAAATATGTTGCATAAACTGAAGTACGAAAGTAAAATAAAAAAATGGGCCAAGAACTGAACCTTGTGGAACCTCATCATGGACTCTTTACTTACGGTTTTTATGTCACTGATGGTCTTTATAGCAGCAATTGACCATGAAAGGTAAAAAAAACTTAACATAAAAAGAGATGAAGCGCCATTAATAGTCCAGAAAACAGGTTTGTGTACCTCTGCCCACTCCTTGGCCTTCTGCTGGTAGAACGTCAGCTCCTTTTGGACAGAACCTTCCAGGTTGTTGTACGTCCTGCAGTAGCGCCGGTCGTTCTCCAGAAAATACATCCTTCTGTCCAACTTGTAAGAACCTGGGGTGCAAACGGAGACGCCCGTCAAACTGAGAACCTGTTTTTCAGTTCGTGTTGCGACTTATTTAATCGGCAAGAAAGAATGCACGCCGTCCTGCACAACCCATGAGTGGGGCTGTGAAAACGATTATCCTTACCGTGCTCAAAGTGAAAATCGATGTAGCAGCGCTCCGACGAGGTCCTGCTCCGTCGCCTCTTTCCGGACGAGTCGCCGGATTCCTGCCACTTCTTCAGAGCTTCACATAAGGCCTGGTAAAAAATACAAACCCCCATGTGATGGAGATGAAATGGGCTACAGGCGAGGTGGGAAGTAGGAATAGAGCAGCAGCGGTACCTTGCGTGTGATTGCATAGTGTCCCTTCAGGGCGTTCAGGGCCCATTTGATGTCCTGACAGCTGAGCATCCTGAAGTCTGCCATCAGCAAGTCGGCAGCCTGCATGATTACCATGGGCCCCACCGTGCTCAGCTTGGCGTAGTCGAACAGGTCCTCGGTCACCTGAAGGAATAAAAACACGTGGCCTTTATTCTCAGATAAGTGACTGACGCGCAAACAAACTCATGGAAAACAAGTGGGGGGAGCGATTTCTCCTTTAAACTGCATTTTCCCCCTCTGTACTTAAAGTAAAGTTTGGATTTTTCTAAATTGCACTGCAAGAGAATATTTATTTTCCTTTACCAGGAGTGCCAGAAAGTGATGGAAGGTGCTGAAAATTAACCTAAGTAGCAAAAATTTTGGAAAAACAATTTATTTTCTTAATGAAACCTAATTTTTTCCAGATTCAGAGGACGTGCTGTAATCAGTGACAGCGTCAGCACACGATGAACTAAACAACAGCAGTACCTTATTATTATTATTTTATTTCTTAATTTATTTTATTGTATTATTTTTAAGGAACCAGAAGCTTTTTTATTTACTGCTTTTTTAAAAGACAGCAGTACTTTTCTTAATTATTTATTTTTCTTGACTTTGTTTTTTTTATTATTTTTTAAGACATCAGCACCTTAATTATTTAATTTTTGAAATATTCTTTTAAAGACAACATCAATGTTCTTTGTAGTTTATTTTTGTTCTTTATTTTTATGTTTTAATTCTTTTTTTTGGTGCTGAGCTGTTCCTATTGGCTGATGCCAAAATCAAACAGCAGAACTGGACCACCACTTGGTTTTCTGGAACAAAGGTTCTGATGTTTGAGTCCAGCGACTGAAATCCCACATGAAGTGGAACCTTCTGGAGGGGAGGGCTAACAGAGCGGCACCCACCTCCGCCTGCACGTCTCCTGACTCCAGCAGGATGCTGGTGGGAGCGGCTGTGGCTGCAGCCGCCTCCCTCCTCGGATACTCTGGATTCTCCAGCAGCAGGTTGCAGATCCTGCGACCGGAACGACGCAGAGTTTAAATTATTTCACACCAGGGCGAAAAAACGTAGAGGCGAATTCTCATTAATTAATTATTTACTATTCCTACAATAGGAATGTAAATGCTTCTTACACATTCAAGTCTTTCACATTATTCCTCAGGATCAGTTCTGCTACATACGCTTCCTGGACGTCTGGGAGTAAATCCAGCTGGAGGAGAGAGAGAGAAACGGACAATATGTCATGGTCCTAGTCAAAGTAGTGCAGAAATGTCGATATGAAAGAAAAATAACGCATAAAGTTCAACTTCTGAAAGAAAAATCTTAAGCATGGTATTCATTACCATTTATTCTGATCCCCTAAAAAAATGAAAAAAATAATATAAAAATCTGCCTTCAGATGTTGTCTGATCATTAAATAGAGTCCAGCTGTGTGGGATTTAATCTCAATATAAATCCAGCTACAATGACGTCACTGTGATCACACCGTCTCCACTGTAAAGCACGGTGGCGGTGGAGTCATGCTGTGGCCATGCATTTCTTCATCAAATATGGAGAAATTTTGTATAAAATCTCTACCATCCACTCCAATTTGAATGGAGAGCCTCTATGTTCACGTCTCACCTCAGATTGTCTGTTGGTTTTAGGATTTGGACTTTGACTGGATCATTTTAACAGGAAGATATTTAGTTGGAATATTAAAAAAATAATCGTGATTACAATTATCTCCACCACTTTCTCACATGCATCTTTCTTCACACCAAGGACACAGATTTTCTGTCTCATAATGTGACAATTTGAACAAATATGTAATCATCATCTTTTAGTAAAAGCTACAAACTGCAGCTTTAATGGACATGAATACTTTCGGGGTATTAAATGGTTGTTGGGTGGAGTAAAGTGTGTGAGATACTCACAACTCCAGTGATGAGGGCTCTAACGTGAGGCTGCTGGTCCAGTCCGCCCTGCGGTGCCGAGGGTCCGGGTCTGGCGTCCTCTATCTGGGGAACGGCCTCGGGTGCAGGGGGGACGGCCACCAGAGCTGGCGCTGGATTTACCTGCTCTGGGTTTGGGGCCAGGACGAGCCCGGCAGCCCCTCCTCCGTCATGGGGCACCGGCAGGTTGGCCGGCCGGACTTCGTGGGCGGGTGCCACCGCCACGGAGGCCTGCGGCGGAGGATCCGGGACGGCCTCCGCCGGCGCCTGGCTCCCCAGGATGATCCGGTGGCCCGCCTCAGGAGGACCTAATCTCTCTGGGGCGGCGGCGATTAGAACCGCGGGTGGGACGACGGGCGCAGCCTGAGGCGTCTGGGCGGGGGCCTGGGCCAGGGGCTGCGGCTCGATCTGGACCAGATTGCCCTGCGGCTGATTGTGCGACGGGAAGTTCATGGGCCGCTGCTGCGGCTGAGGCTGGGTTATGAGCGCCGACGCCCGGATGCTGGGCGGCTGCGGAAACACAACCAGGCTCATCTGGAAGACCTTGTGCTGCGCAGACGTGCCCGGCTGCGGCTGAGTCCGTGCATGCGCAGACGACGTACTGGCCTGAGTACCGTGCACTGCTGCTGCGCGTCCGCTCGTACTCGCCGTCTCCTGAGGCTTGGTGGAGGAACACGCCGCGGTTGCAGCTTCACATCGCTGATGCCGCAGTACGCACGCCGAGGGGCCCGGGAGGGGTCCCGACGTGCTCGGCTGAACCTGAAAAACGGTGGCTGTCCCAGACGGCTTAGAGGTAGACGGGGTGTCGGCGGGACGGGCCGGCGTGTTGTCCCGGAACCGCACAGATGCGGGGTGCTTTGGCTGAAGCTGTGCGGGCAACGCCGGGGTGGGGAGCGCCGTGGTCGACGTGTGTGTGGCCGGCTGGTTCGTCCTGATGTCTCTGGAGGTAGAGGCGGCGGAGCCCAGGTCCCCGGCGGCGGCCGTCTCGCTGCTTTGACCCGGGTTGTGTAAGATCCCACTCCATTTGGCTGCTTGGCGGATTATATTCCTGCGTGCCGGAAGCGGTACCTGCAAGAAAATCACAAACACAGCAAATCTACAAAGGGAAAATGCTACATAAGCAGAAATAAACCTAAAACATTAATAAAAAAAAAAGTGAGATAAAGCGTCTGATGGACATGTCAGTCACCTCTAGTATGCTGACGTCGTCGTCATCGCCATCGTCTGGGACTAAAACCGGACTGCCGGGTAAAAAGGTCACTGGCTCTTCATCCGAGTCGTCGGAAATGGTGATGAACTCCTTCTGACCTGCACGAGAGCCTGTGCACACACACACACACACACACACACCGCTGGATCAATAGCAAACATAGCACACTAAACGCTACAAGACAACAATCCACTGCATTGATCATAGCTGTCAAAAGAACTGAGCAATAATTGATCAATTACAAGTGAATTAAGTGATGTACAGCCACACATTTCTAAACATAAGCACAAAAATACGTCAAAATCTTGTAGCAAATATATAGATCTTTACACCAGTTGGTTTGGACGGATTGTTTCTGAAAATAGAAAACTGGATATTAACATTTGTTCTATGATCTGAAAATGGATTTTTGTCCCCTCAAAAAAACAGAAACAAATCTGTTAAGCACACAAATACGTTCCAAAAGTAATGCCTGTGTCAGAAATTACCTTGCCAACGTCACCCTGAATACACCATCCTCACTGTGAAACACGGTGTTGGAATCATCATGCTAAGGGCTGTACTTGTCTCTCACAGATTAGGATCTTAAAATAAGCAGCAAGCGTCTTTTATTAAACCGGTTCATTGCTTTCATTTTCATTTCTTTGTCACCGACTACCTTTACTCAAAAGAAGAGCAGATCGTTTAACTCAGGTGAACAGAGGAAGCACTTTCAGAAGAATTACTGAGCCCATATCCTGTTCTTGTTGCTACTATTTTATAAACCAAGAACTTAGAACAAATTGCCCTAAAAACATGAAAGAAATGTCATGTTTTTCCTTTATTAAACATCTAATGTTTTAAAAATGATTTACAGATGCAATTCAAACAGATATCACACAGTGTAAGTAATTTGTCTGATTTTAATAAAAATAATTAAAAGATTAGTTTTTTTATTTATTTGGTTTTTTTCAACTTGACTTTGGCTCAAATTGCAAAAGAGCTTCAAAAGGCGGTACTAAACACGCAGCAGATTCAGGGTTTCCCCCAGTGTTGTATAAGCCTGGCGGGCCACCAGGCTTTATATGTTCCCCCGCCAGGCTTAACAAGATTATTTATTTATGTCTTTTTAAAATGTCTGCATTTTTTAAGACCTTATAGTTGGTGTTCAGGTGTTACTCTTCCAATAACACATAATTATCAAGTGATATTTTCAAATTTCCTGTCAACTTTAAACATTTTTTAACACAAAAACAAGACGGGCCGCTGGATGAATGACTGCCATGGCACCCAACCACCGGGCTTAGCAAGTTTTCTGGGGGAAACCTTGAAATTCATTTGCTGGAATGGCCTAGTGAAAGTCAAGACATACATCTAACTAAGAGTCTAATAACTGAGGTCCACAGATAAAAGCATGAAACACAGAAAGCATGCATTCAACTATTTTTCCCCCCCTTTTTGTTGTTGTAATGTGACAAAATGTGATGCAGTGCATGTCAGTGATGAGTCCCACCTTGGCTCCGGTGCACGTTGAAGCTGGCCAGGTGGATGACATCATCATCATTTCCATCCGCCATTGTGAAGCAGCACTAACCAGCTCACACTGACAGTCACTGCCCAGTCAGTAGCATCTACAAAAACACACACACAGGGAGAGAGAGAGCTGTCATCATGAAGGTTAAGCAGTATCATCTTTCTCCCTTCTGTCTGTGGAAGTTGGATCATCAGAAATGCAAGTTCCTGTCCGGTGACTGTGGATATATAGCGGTAAGGAACATGAGTCACACTCTTGATTAAAAATGCAGACAGAATTCCCCTAAAATCCACCAGTTGGTTTCATTTTTAATGCATCATTTGTTGCCATAACATATATATGTCAGGCAAAGAATAAAAAGGGCGATGCGGAGTCAGGTGTGCAATGGTCAAACTTTGAGATTTAAGAGGTAAACAAACCATCTATTACCAGGAAATCACATGCTAGCAGTTGAACAAGAGCAACCCCAAGCCCCTTATTAGAATAAACACTGATAGCTAATCCTAAAGTTGATTGTTTACCTGACCCCTGGTTACCGCTTTCCGTACATTTCTGTTAGCTTTGACACAGGGTGCGGCTATTTTAGTCCAGCACCCGCTCAAATATGCTTTAAATCAATCTAAATCTCACGTGTAGTTGAGATATTTCTCGCCAACAGCAGGAGCTGAGAGTGCTGCTGTAGTTGCTCCAAGTAGCTACGCCGTGTTAATCGCATTGACATCAGCTCCGACACAGCCACGACACAAAGAACATTGAGACTGTAGCTTTTTAAAAACAAACAGGCCACTTATCGTCAATCTTTTCCGCTCTATTCGGCGTCGCTTTACTCGATGTGTTTTAGCATGCCTGGCTAACTAGCTAGAATGGTAAGTAGTTAGCTGACAGAAGTCAGGATTTTTCTTTAGTCACTAGCAGCGCTTCAAATCAGTCGCATAAGGAGTAAACCCCGTTTTTCTTTCTTAATAGAGAAAACCCCACAAAATAAAAAGGTTGAATACCGTAGCTTTGTCGTGGATAACCACTAAAAATCCTGGTGGTCTGTCTCCTTGATAGGCTCTATATCCGTGTAGCTTTATCGGTGAGAAACTGCCAAAACATGAAGAAGCGCCTACGTCCTCCTGCTGAATTTTGGGAAATGTAGTCTTTAAGACGTGCTGAGCGTTTCACTTGTACAGAGGCTGTCGGAAAGAGAAAATAAAGCAAAAGTGTAATGTTTTGCTGAATTGAAAGACTTTTCTTCTTTCCACCCGAGTAAGCTCAATAACTACATATATAGATATAAGTGATAAAGACTTAAAAAATTACTAAAACTACTTCCAGAATGGAAATAGGATAAAGTTTTGGTTTCCAAGGTATTTGGAAAATACCAAAAACATTCTAATCTATTTTATATACATTTTGCACAATAGAGCAGCACAAATAAATTCACTGGGAAGGAGGAAATTGAAAAAAAATATATATTTTTCACGAATAGAAATCTGAAAAGTGTGGCATACATTTGAATTCAGCCACACTGAATGCCTACTGTGTTGCTACTGCAACTGCAGGTTTGTCGTAGCATGTCTCTACCAGCTTTACACACCTGGACACAACACATTTTTGTTCATCCTTCTCAGCTCAGCCAGTTTGGACGAAATGAACTCAAACCATTTTAAGACCCAGATTTTAGATATATAAATGCAAAACCTTTTAAGGATGCACGTAGACGTTGTCCAATAGTGATGTTACTTTAGCCAGAGTCCTTCTGTCTCCCTAGGCCTGCATTGGGTTGTCCGGGCGTTTTAGCATAGAGCTGGCCTTCCTGATTAGCTTATCTAAGCCGTAGCTGCTGTTTTAACGGAAAGTACCATAGAAGATGACTGATAACACTAAAGTCAAAGAGGGTCTTTAGAAGCACCCCCTTGTTAATTAGAAATTTAGATGAGAATAAAAGTAAATTAGGTATAAGGGAATTGTTTCAGAGATTTTAGTTTTTAGTGTTTGTAGTTTATTAAGAAGAGAAGATTTTAGTAGTAAAAGCATCTGATCCATACTCCAATTTGGAAGGTGGCGGTTATGCGCCTAAAAGTTGTTTGCCAACCGCCATAAAAAAGGGAAGAAGAAGAAGTAGAACCGCCCTCTGCAGTCTAAATGACCTCAGCAGGTAGAGAGCACTTCAGTGTTTGCAAGTCCTGTCCAGGTGTTCCAGGTCACCTGTAGATTTAGCTGCTGAGCTTGAGCAATGAAAGACACAGGTGTGCTTGAGTCTTTGTGAGGTGCGTGCCAGTTGGGTGGAGATGGTGAATGAATCCAAAACTGTTGGATTTGCTGATTTAACTTGCATAAAAAAGGGACAGCTTTTCATAATGAATTTAAGACATTTTAAAGATGCGTGGACCCTGTGTCATCTTGACTTGCATGCCACACTTTTCAGACTTGTATGTATAAGTGCTTCTGCAGGCAACAGATGTGATTTTCAATCATTCTTTTGGGATTTTCTGCAGCTTCTACAGGACTGTGAAGAATTATTTTTATGACTTGTTTAACAAAACAATCGTTACAACCACTAAACATCATTGTAAGTCTTTTTAACTGAAACATCAAAGGGCGACACACTTGCACACACGCAGGATTGTATTTTTCAATTTAATTTCTTTTAATATAATCTTATTTACATTGTATTTTTTTCATAAATGTTTAGTACATTGTAAGTTACAATACTTTTGCATCCATTACACAGTGAAATTAGACCATAGAAAACGCAGATTGAAATAATACTGCTTAACAGTCTTCAATCTACAACGGAACGTTCCCCTCTTTCCCTCCTGTCCGCATGTTTCTTCTCGCTCAATAAAATTTGATTTCACTCTCTACTGTGGAGCTTAAATGGTTCAAAAGGGATTCATTCATTGTGGTCTTAAAGATGATGATTAGTTTTCCAAACGTTCGGGCTACAGAGAGAGAGAGAAAAAATCATGTTTAGGAGGAATAAAAACATGGCAATATAGGCGATAAGACATGTATAAAAAAGGCTTACGGGGCACAAATGTTAGAAATGACGTGGCTTCTTCTTTGCATCTTGAGGCTCATTTTGATTAAGAATAACTAACTCCACCCCCCCACCCCACCAAAACTAAAAAAAATAAGATAAAAATCCAGGATGTACCCTTGGATTAGTTTTACTTCTCAAATTACGGTTGGGGGTGAAGCGGGGGAAATGTAACTTCAGCAAATGTAACCCGGTGTTTTCAAAACACCAACATCTTTCATACACAGACGAGATTATTTATTCCCCCCCCCCACAGTAACATGGATGTTTGAAAGTAACAAAACTCAGGAAAAAAAAAAAATCCACTTTGTGGATGACTTGAATTGCATGAGAATTGACCCTTCAGCTCCAGTAGGTTGAGCTGCGATTAAGAAATTAGTGAGGGCTCATTGCAGAGCATATAGCAGCTTGGTCAGTAATCATTTAGTAATAAATAATAAAAACATCAGAGAGGATCAGAGTGGTCGCAGGTACAAACGTAAGAGAAAAAAAAAGGTTAAACGGAGGCTCATTGTATCATCTTTACAGCATAACAGAGTGCCATGCTATACACACACACACACACACACACACACACACACACACACACACACACACGCGCATACAAAAAAAGAAAACAAAAAAAAAGAATCCCACTCTCTCACATGCAGACTGAGACACAAAGACACGCAACAGTGGTTAAACATGAAGCATGAATACTAGTCGATCAATCAGCTTGTTACGGAGGAAAAAAACAAAAACAAAAAAAAAAACATCGCTCCCCACCGCCTTGCTCAACGCACACCTGAATTCAAAGTTCGCAGGCTCGTACGCGATTGGCTGATTGTGCCCGAAGACTTGAGCACGACTCGAGTCGAATTTGCCGTGGTTACACATTCGTAAGAGTGACATCATAGCTTGTTAAAACTGATGGATAAAAATGCTTCTTGAAAATATTTGAAAAATTTTTTAAAATACTTTTTTTTTCTCCCCCCACCCCCTTTTACCCCCTTCCTCCTCCTCCTCCTCTTCTTCCTCCTGCTGCTGCTGTGCTTCCTCGTTTAACCGCAGGCAGTCCGGCGGTGGCAGAGGTGGCAAGAGACGGCGTGTTCTCGTAATGCTTGGCTGTTTGGCGTACTCAGAGTACACCTGGAGTTCGGTTCGTGTGTGTGTGTGCATACATGTCGAATGTCAGATAGTTGGGTGTGCAAGTGCAAGCGAGTGTGACCGGCGTCGTCCTCCTCGTCCTTGTGGCGGAGCCGTCACTCCACGGCGAAGCCGCACGTCTCCTCCACGGCCGTCAGCAGCTTCTCGTAAAGTTTCTCGTAGGACTCGTAGGGAGGGATGTCTATCCGGTTAAAACTGGAGACGCACAAAAAAGAGGATTCGTCAGGAAGTTTATTCATTCTTTCATAAATTCATGAACGAATAAAACCCGAGGCGTCTTACCACGTGTGAGCTTTCGGTAGGTTCTCTGTGTTGGCGTCTATCAAGTGGATGGTGAAGAGCCTCGGTCCTGCAGAACCTGTAGAGCCTTACACACATACATTCTAGTTATCACTGCTCTACAATGGGAGACGGCGGGCTGGTCGTTTTAAACCAGACACCAGTAAAAAACGCAGGGAGTTTAACGGGAGTTCATGTGAGAGACCAACACCGGGTGGGACTTCACTGGAAAGTGGATTGAAAACTTGACACGTTTATGTGTTTATATGTTCAACATGTTGAAAATCTGAAAATGATGCTGTGTATTTCCAGAGCATGATGATGCCACCACCGTGTTTCACAGCGTGGGTTACACGTTTCCAGGTGAAGGTCTTGGATCAGTTTCATCTATATTTTAAGCACATAGATTCAGTGAATAATCCTCAACTTTTTGTGCGTCTGTGGTGAGATTTTATCCTCCTATCCTTGCACTACTAATGCTTACCATTAACCTTTATGCTTCTTATACAATTTATTCAGTTTTTGCTGTAATCATCTCCATATGTCAGTATTATCTTGCCCACATGATCACCACACAAAATTTGTTCACCGACGTTCTCCAGCAAACCTCTGACTCCTCCGGCAGAACAGCTGGATTGATGCTGAGATTAAATTTAACCCAGGTGGAAATTCTGGATTTTATTTAGAATCATTTCAGATTTTTTTTTTTTTTTTTTAGCTGAAAAATCAGCAAAAAAATTTTTTAACAAAAATATTTCAACATAAATAAAAAGTGGGCTGTAGCTAACAATTATTTTAGTAATCAAGTAATCTGACGATTGATCAAGTAATTAACTAAACATCAACACAGTATTGGACTAATCTGTTGACTGTTCGTTTACTATTAACTAGTTAATAACTGGGTAGCAAAATGTACTTCCAAGGAGAAAGTGAACCAGCTGAAGCTAAAACTGTGACACTTGAGTTTTGGGTAGAATATATTTACAGACAAAGACATCTTTGTCTTTATTTTTGACATCTAAATTACAAAATGTTGATTTTTTTTGGAACAGTTTTGCAGTGCTATTGTTTCATCAAATGGCATATTCTAGAATCTGTAGACTCCACTTTAAACGATTAATCGTTTGCTAAATTAGCTGATGATTATTTCAAATAATTGATTAATCACGATTAATCGTTTTAGCCCCCCATTTTATTCAGCACATAATCAATTAGCAATATGCCGGTTGGAAGGAATCGATAAGAACCTCCCGTTTGACTCACAGGCTATGATTAGTAGTTGATGATTTCAATACCCGATTAATCACGATTAATTGTTTCAGCCCTGACATGAATCAAAGCAAACTTATTGGGAGTAAACGAACAAATGTCAATATGAAACAACTGCAGCTAAAAAGCTGTGTGTTGATTTTGTGTGGCGGCTCTGCGCCGGTGCCTGACCCACCCTGCAGCGCTTTGAACCCCTGCAGGGGAACCCGAGTGGAGCCTGTGACAAACTGCAGGAGGCGCCCTCTCCTCTCCTCGCTGAAGGCCTCCACGGCCTGCCAGAACCACCGCACCACGTTGCTCTCCCCGGTGCAGTGCTTCAGCCGGGTGTTGGCCTTCCAGTCCGCCAGGTCTATCTTCCCCAGTCCGCCGATTATTAACTGGATGGGACAGAGAGAGCGGGATGTT